ATAATAATGATGATGATGATGATGATGATGATGATGATGATGATGATGATGATGATGATGATATTAGTAGCAGTAGTAGTATTACTTGTAATAGTAATAGTAATAGTATTAGTTATAATTGTAGTAGTATGTTTCGATTGAAACCAAGCGACTGTTGAGAATAAAGATGTAAAGATGTTTTTTTTTTTAAGTACTACTATTATTATTCGTTTCCAACGACAATTTCAAGCGATAATTAGAGAACAGTCTATTCTGTATTTAGAACGCCGGATTATTTGGGAAACCTTTAATTATGTGTACTTATATTTGTAAATAGTCTTGATTCTTGTACTGTTTGCACCTGTTACGTTTACCGGCGACCATTTTTCTTTTTGCTTCTGCCTCTTTGTATGTCCTTCTGTAAACATAAATATATGCAATCGCAGTTATTAATTGCAATTACATTAAGGATTAATATAATTTCATATCGCATATGTAAATGATTTTTATATTAAAAATTAAAAAAGTTAAAAAATGTTTAATAGTTTGGAGTTTTGTTATCACATCATTATTTTTTTTATTATCACAGACTTATTAATTTTTCAATAATAAAGTAAAAATATAAAATAAAATAAATTTTTATGTTTAAAATTCTTATAAATTATATTCGTTTTATTTAAATTTACTTAAATTTAATTTTATATTAAATTAAATTTAATATAATTATTGAATAATTATTAAATAATCTATAAATTCTTAATATAATTGTTAGTAGTCAATAATTGATATTGAATTCATTTATCTTCAAGAAATATTAATGGGCAATCTTAAAAATTATATATGAAATTAATAATTCAATATTATTAATTATTAATATTTTTAATTTCCATATTTCAAAATCAAATTTTGAAATCTTTATAATTAAACAGAAATAAACAAAATTTTATAAGGAATGAGTTAAAATATTAGATAGAATATAAATAAATATAAATAAATATCTATTCTATAATTTTATTTATATAAAAAATATAATATAAAAAATATTATATATTAAAGATAAATGATTACAAAAAAAAATATTAATTTAATTAGAATTCAAAATATTTCAGTACTATAATAGATAAAGAAGTATTTATTTATTTAAATATTACACACATATTCAATATGTGCAATAAAACATTTAAAAAATAATACAGATGAAAATGATTGTTATATTAAATAAAATTTATTATAAAACAAACTATCAAAACTTACAATTAAACATATTATTCAGCATTCTTCTGGTATTGATTATTTTTAATTAATTAAAAAAGTAATTAATATAAAAAATGATTTATGATTTATTTTCATAAATATAGAAAAATAAATTAAACTTTAATTAAAATCTATTATTATTCAGAATATAATATTTTAGTTTTTACTACAAAATATAAAGTTTAGTTAAATATAATATTGAAATATATTCAATTTATATATTTTTTTAATTAATAATTCTTTACAACAAAATGAATTTAAGATGAAAAACATTATGTATAAATAATAAATGTTTTAAGTTTTTTGAATATTCTTTCATTTTTAAATGTTTAATTACATAATAATAAAATTAGATAATTAGTAACAATTATTATGGAAGAAAAAATACATAATAAAATGTCTTTAATAATATTTAATTTTGACGTATGTTAAAATTAACTCAATTTACAAATTAACTTAATATTTATAATTAACTAATCATAGTTTTCTTATATTAAAACTATGCTATCGTACAAAGAATTATCCCAGAAACTCTCTTATCTTTTTTCTTTTTACTGGACCATAGACTAAATTTTTTCTCTTAGAAAGTTGGTATTATTTGAGTGTACTCCCGTGATATTGTTACTGTATTTGCGTGTACACACATTTTAAGCAACAAGATGAGTCACTGGCAGCACTGCTTACGCATTCCTTCTGAATTCATTGTTGGTTTCACGTCAATGGGTTCTACATTCTGTGGCCGGATTGTATCACCTTCAGGTGGATCACGTATCTGTTTCTGCGATACGATTCTGTAGATTTCTGTAATGGTCAAAGAGTGTCATTTTTTATTCTTGAAAATATGAAAACGGTTAATATACATATAAAATATATAGTATATAATATATTAAATATTATATATGTGCAAGAATTTAAAATCATATATATCCAATACATATATCATATCCATATGTAATCATGTCTAATTAAGTTTATTTATCTATATATATGTGTATGAATATAATTGAATCAAGAT